TATAAGAATGTTCTATCTCTCCACATCCTCACCAGCATTTGTTGCTTTGGGATTTTTTAGTAAGGGCCAATCTCACAGGGGTTAGGTGATACCTCATTGTGGTTTTGATTTGCATTTCCCTAATGATTAGAGATGTTCAGCAATTTTTTTATATGTTTGCTGGCCATTATTCTGTCTTCTTTTGAAAAGTTTCTGTTAATGTCCTTTTTCCATTTATTGATGGGGTTGTTTGATTTTTTCTTGTTGATTTTTTTGAGTTTGAGGTAGATTCTTATTATCAGCCCTTTACTGGATGTGCAGAGGGCAAATATTTTCTCTCATTCTGTAGGCTGTCTATTCGCTCTAATGATAGTTTCCTTGGCTGTGCAAAAGCTTTTTAATTTGATCAGGTACCATTTATTTATTTATTTTTGTTGCTGCTGTGATTGCTTTAGGGGTCTTCTTCATAAATTTTTTGCCTAGGCCAATGTCTGAAAGAGTCTTCCCTACATTTTCTTCTAGGATTCTAAAGGTTCCATGCCTTAGGTTTAAGTCTGTTATCCATCTTGGATTGATTTTTGTAAGAGGTGAGAGGTGGAGAACCAGTTTCAATCTTGTGTATGTAGCTATCTAGTTTTCCCAGCACCATTTATTGAAAAGACATTCTTTTCCCCAGGGTATATTTTTGTCTACTTCATTAAAGATTAGATGACAATATGCGGATGGTTTCATCTCTGGGTTCTCAGTCCTGTTCCAAAGGTCTATGTCTCTGTTCTTGTGCCAGTAGCATGCTGTTTTAGTTACTATAGCCTTGTATACTGCTTGAAGTCTGGTAGACTGATAGCTCCTACTTTGTTCTTTTTGCTTTAGATTGCTTTTGCTATACGAGATCTTCTCTGGTTCCATACAAAGCATAGAATTATTTTTTCTAGGTCTGTAAAGAATGATTATGGTACTTTGATAGGGATTGCATTAATTCTGTATATCACTTTAGGTAGTATGGACATTTTAACAATGTTGATTCTGCCAATCCATGAGCAAGGTACATTTTTCCATCTGTTTACATCTTCTATAATTTCTTTTCTTAGTGTTTTGTAGATCTCCCTGTATATGTCTCTTACATCTTTAGTTAAATATATTCCTAGATATTCAATTTTCTTTGAGGCTATTGCAAAAGGTACTGAATTTTTTATTTGAATTTCGGCTTGACTGTTATTGATGTATATGAATGCCTCTGATTTGTATGTATTGATTTTGTACCATGAGACTTTACTGAAATCATTTATCACTTCCAGGAGTCTCTTGGTTGAATCCTTGGGGTTTTCTAGATATAATATGATATCATTGGCAAAGAGTGAGAGTTTGATCTCTTCTGCCTCCATTTGGACACCCTTAATTCCCCTTTCTTGTCTAATAGACAAGATATACCTTAAAATTGTCAAGGCCATATATGATAAACCCAAAATATTCTTGTTACTAAATTTTTCTCTATACAGACATCATGAACTAATTCAACAGTCTTTTGTTTAAAACCCTGTTACATGCCAGATAGTCCCTTAGGTGCTGAAGATTCAAAAGTCAATCGTGGCAGACAAGAGTTTGTTTCCATGGAGCTTAGATTCAAGTAAGGATGAAGATAGCAATAACCAAGTATAAATTAATAGATAAGATCATTTTAAATGGGCATAAATATTATGATGAAAATTAAACTGTGCTATAATGATAAATTAATCCGAGTGGGGAGCTACTTTAAATTGGTGGCCACATATATAGCTTCTCTGAAGATGTAGCATCTAGAATAACAAAAATAAACTTGCCATGCCAAGATCCAGAGAATTCCAGGCAGAAGGAAGAACAAGTACATATGCCTCAAAGGAAGGAATGATATTGATGTGTTAAGAAGAGAAAGGTCAATATAGGAAGGGAGAAATCATTTAATTGAAATGAAAGAGTATGGCACGACCAGATTATATAGGGCACTACAGCCATAGTAAGGAATTTACATGTTAATCTATGGGACATCTTTCTAAGAGGAGAGTTATTGATTTGATTTATGTTTAAACCCTTCTGACTGCTACATAGCAAATGGACTACATGAGGCCAACATCAGAAGCCAAGAGAATCATTAGAATTGCAGTAGGGACAGGCAGAAATGTGGAAATATATAAACCTTAGCATGTTTTAAATATGTGAACTGTGCCTGCTGCATTGTAGGTATTCATTGTATACTTGTTGAAATGAATGATTGAATGAGCAAATAGCATAGTGTTTATAAACATTAAAATCTAGCAATGTATTATATTTCTGGCTACATATTTTGGGCATTAAAAACTGAAACAAAGGATTCTTTAAATTTACAAGAAAACCTACCTTTTCCATGTAGTTACATGTAGTTACATGTTTTCCTCATTGAAATAATTTAAACAATTTTTCAAATAAATACAAACCTAAACAAGAAAATTCCAAAATAGTACTACTGAACTAAGCATCTGACATTTTATGATGTTAATTCTAAAGTTTCTTTATACAGTTACAGTCAGAGTAAGAGATAAACTATACAAATTCTTAAGTTAATAAGAACATTGTTAGTTGACAAAAAAAGAGAAGCATATAGAAAATATTCTATGTTTGGGATTTTTAAAAAAGCATACTCTGTGTCTTCCATACATGAGTTATTTACATTGGAATGCCAAATTGTAACCATAGTGTACTTAAATTGACCCATACCACTTCCTAAGATTCCATTGGTAAATTTTCAGGAAATTTATTAGCAATTTGTTAAAAACACCATTATTAAAATTGAATTATGTAAACTCAGTTAAATTAAAAAGCTTAAAACAAAGGTAGTAAGCACTCAAAACTCATCACTTCCTAAATATTTTGACTACATTTTAATGTTATCAATGTTCTTGAGGTTGTGCCTACTGCATCTGTACAGTGGCAATACCATACAATGATGTGCTACTGAGCAACTCTTCCCAGCTCCACATTTAATGACATCATGTGGGAAGGTTGAAATCAGACATGATGAGAATATTTACACCACAGAAATTGGCGAATGCTATAAACCAGGGCTTTCCCTCATGCCTGGCGAGTCAGCTGTTGAACATTTACCAATACACTATTTGTTACAACTATACTGATGTTACTGTCACCACTAGCTACAAATCTCTAGTCTAAATCCCAGGAATTATGTTGTGCTTCACACACACAAGGAATGACAAATGAAGGATACGGAAATGATGAGAGTGAGAGTCTGCTATGGCTGGCTTCTAGACAGGGAAGGTCAGTGCTCAAGAGCAATTTACTTATTTCTTTTGCACTTTACCAGCCTTGACATAATAGCTACATTTCCCCCTGATTTCCTTTTTGTGAAACAGTCCTGCCAAGTGTAAAAACTATTCAAAATGTCTGTTATTGAAGTTCAGAACTTAGAAAACAATTCAAAAATAAGAAGATGCCATTATCTCTTACCAAATTAGTAACAACTAAAAAGAAAGACAATAATCTTGAAGGGATACACTGAGAAAAGCATGTATATACAATGATAATAGGAATATAAATTGATAAATATTTTAAAATAAATTTGTCAATCTAAAGGAACACTTTGTATCATTATTTAAATTTAACCTGTAGAAAGATTACTTTATAAAAATATACTTAAAAAGTATTATTTATTATAAAAATGAATTAATTTGTACATTGGTTTAAAAGAATATTATGTGTAATATTAAATGAAATTTACAAAACCAATCGATGATGAAACATAAAATTAGATATTCATATGGAGGGATTAAGAGTAAATTCAACTAAACATTTAATAGTAGTTGTTTTAGAGTATTTACAATACAACTGATTATTTTCTTTTACTTTAAGGTTTCTATAATTTCTAAATTTTCTAGAAAGAAAAAATGAGCATATTTAAACTAAAAATCAAATTCTTCAATGCATTGTCCAATACATTTTGATTTGGGAAAAAAGTATATATGTGTTGTGATAAATTTTATAAAAATATGGCTTGGGGAAGCTAGCATTTAAGTTATTAATGACTCTGGCTTTGTGTTAAAGGATTTCTTGTTGATTTAATACATAGTTTATATATTTATTTAGCTATAACTTGCCAAATATTCTTGGTGAACATTTACCAATTTATTTATTTTGTTATAAATATATCAATTATTCCTTAATTTAGTATTTTCTAGTATTTATTAATCTCACATACAATTCTCAAATTAATATCAATTTTAATTCATTATAATTAAACTATATCATGATTACAGGGTGAGAAAAAAGTATAAAAAATTAAATAATAGAGTGCTGCAAATCCAAAAAAGGGAAGAAATCATTTCTTCAAATATGTATTTAGTTAACCAATGTTGTGAAAAATAGGTTTACAGAAAAGGAATATATAAGGAGAGGGACAAGATAAAGGAAACATAATCTACTGTCTTTATATTTAATTACTATATTAATTTGTGCAGGGCAAGTAAAAAGGGGTGAGAAGAGTATGAAAAGTAGTCCAGTGAATTTCCTTTTGATATAAGAGAAGTTTAAATACTATTAAATAATAACCTATTATTATTTATCATTTACTGCATTATGTTATTTTAAGTGTGCTTTTTATTTTAAAATATTTAATAGACAATAAATATTGAATTTATTTAAGGTGTACAATGTGATGATTTGATACATGTATATACATGGTGTAATGATGATCATATTAAGTTAATTAACATATTCCATGCTGTACCTTAGAACCCCTGAACTTGTTCATCTTAGAAGTTTTTCATTGTGCTTTGACATCCAGATCATAATCAACAAGTATGTAGCACGTCACAAACTTACTTTTCTCACTCACGAGGGAAGAATATAAAGTTTCAGGGCATCTTTGACATTTCAAATCTCCTTAGGAGAATAATGGCATTGGTGTGAATATCAGTCCTATCTTTACTCTTAGAAACCCATGTGGTCTAAAAACATATGGTACTTCATTGACATGTGTTTGAAAATGACTAGTTTACCTGAAATTTTGACTTGAGACACCACTCCATCTCCTCCTTCACTGTGTGCACGAACCTCTACAACATACTCTCCATCCCTGGGGATTGGGACTTGTATGGAGTGTTTATGAGTTGAATACAGCTTGCCATCATACTGGCCATCGGGTCTATAGAGAACCTTATAAAGTCCAAAAATATGAATACTTAAGAAGGTCATAATAATGAGCCAATGCCCTAATACTAAAATCAGAATAAAAATGCTTACACTTTTATTAATAAAAATTAATACATTTAAAATAAGCAGAAAAATTTGCTGTTATTTTTAGTTCACAAAATTTTTTTTCTACAATTTTTAGGATTATCCAAGAGGATGTGACTTGAACATCTGTATTTTATTTTTTTGAGATGACTCAAAATAAAGAGATGGAAAGAATGTGTCTTTTTAAGAAAAAGCATAAAATCGAGGCTCTTTCACTTTAGTAAAGTAATCTAAAAAATTGTCAATATATCAAGGAGTTTGCAGGATGCTGGGCAATACCATAGTAATCATTGCCAAACAAAATGAATTCATTCTGTCTCTCCTCTTTAAGCATAGATTATTCTAACAATTCTATTCTTTAAAGCAGTTATTCTACTTATCTTACTCACTTGGCATGGCATTTGCTTAAAATTCACTGAAGGTGTTTTTTTCATTCAAAATTTAACATGGCAATCTGTCATCTGGCTCTGCTATACAGCTTAGCATAAGAAAACTGAATGGGTTTCACCAAAACAGCAAAAATTGCAAATATCAATCACTCTTTGTAAGAATGAAGCTTTTGTGGAGAATAATCTAGTAATCTTTCATATACCTTATATCCTGTCACTGTAGATTCATTTGATAGTGCAACGACATGATCCCAGGTGATTATGTAGTGTGAACCAGACCTTACTGAACTGATGATCCTTGGAGGCTTGCTAGGAGCTGTGAAACATAGTAACACGCAATCAATGATCACCGTATCCAGTCTCAGTTCTGCAAACTTCATTGCATCAGGAATCATAATGCTGATGATAATGATATTGACAACAACAACACCTAATTTTGATGAATGCTCACTATATGCCTGGCACCACACTAAGCACTTTACATCCATGAGTTCATTTGATACACTCAGCTGCCCCGGGATGTAGGTAATATAACCAGTATTCTCTTCTCATCATGCTCCACTTGGAGTTCTTTCTCTTCCAGTCTTTTGAAACTGCTGTTTTCGGGTCACCAATCACATACACTTGGCCAGATCTAATGTCAAAATCTAATTGACTCTATTTAAATTTAACATTTTTGGAGCATTCCACAGAGTTGACCACCTTCTTTCTTCTTGAATCTCTTAAACTCATATTTTAACAACTGTGTTTTCCTTCTGCCTCACTGGCTGCTCCTTCTCATTAATCATCCTTAGCTAGTTCCACATCTTGGCTCAACTTCTAACTGCTGGAGTGACTTAAGACTTGATTCTGTGTATCCTTCTATCCTCTCTCTGTGAGTATTCCCTAAGTCCTTATATCTGGGCCCATGGCTTTAAATAGAAACAATTCTATCTCTAACCTTAATCTCTCCTTTGACTTCTAGACATGTGTCCAGCTGCCTATCCCATCTTGAATGTCTAGAAGATTTCTGGAATGTAATATAATCAAGACGAACAATTGGCCATGTAGCCCCAAACCTGCCTCTCATGAGTCCTTCTCATCTTCAGGCAATAGCACAACCAAACCTCAGTTTCTCAAGCAAAAGTCCATATTCAGTCTTCAATTCCACTCATTGCCAACATCCAAATTAGCAGAACATTGTCAACTCTCCCTGCAGAAAACGTTCCACTCCTCTCTGTCTCTGCTATCACTTAGTGCAAGCCATCAATTTTCTCCTTCAATACTGAGCTAGCCTCCTAACTGGCTTTTCTGCTTTCACTTTTAACCCACCACTATCCATTTTCTGCCCAGAAGCTAGAATGATTTTTTTTTAAACAAACATAAATAAGATCTTATTCTCTGCCTTAAAATCTTCCAATGGCTTCTTATCACACTTAGAAAGAACCCAAACTCCCCACTTAAAAGGTCTTACAAGGCCCTCCATATTTTGGCCCCAGTGGACTTCCCCCTCCTCTATACCTGGCGCCACTAGCCTTCTACATCTAGAGCATTTCAGACTCTTCCCATCTTTAGGTTTCTCACTAGTTATCCTCTCTACCTGAATCAATTTTTCTCAGCTCATCACCATGTGGGCCCTTCTTATCACTCATCCTGGCTTAACTGGCATCTTCCCAAAGAGGTCTTTCCTGACCACCCATTCAGGAATTGGCTTCCACCCAAGTTGCTTTCAGTTATCTGTTTATTCTATTTTTTTTCCCCTGACAACTGACATGACCATACTTATTTGTTTTTCAGAACTTTTGTTTGTTTAAGTTTCTATCTCCTTCCATTAGACTGTAAACCATGTGAGAAGAGGATCTGGGTCTGGTTTGGTCTGTCTGTGTCCTCACCACCTATGACAATGCTGGACATATAGCATGCTTCTGATGAAGGAATAAATAAATGAATGAGTGGAACAAAGAACAAAGGAATGAATACTGCTTTTATATGTTACAAAATTGGAGTTTAAATAGGTAAGGTAATTTGTCTGTTGTCATGCATTTAGTAAGTGGCTGAGACAGATCTCAAACCTATGTCTGACACAAGTCTTGTCACTATGTTTTGTTATCTCATTAAGAGATTCTTTGCCTTCAAGTGAAGTTCATAAATTTGCAAACCTTAATGATAATCATGTCTTCAGATTCTGACAAAATTCCTGAGTTCTGCATACAAATTCTCCTTTTTTATATATTCAACATAGGTTCGAGAACAGAGACATCAAAGTGAAACTAGAGAGATTAGAATGACTAAGAAATCTGAGTAAGGTCGGTGGTCTTGTTATATGGACAATGAGAACATACAGTAGTAAGAGTAAACATAATGTTACACATTTAATTTGCATTTGCATGGGGCAATGATGAAAGTTTATAAATCAAAGCATAGAAAAACGAGAAGAATCTGAATTTTCTAATGCTGTTGATACATTCCTATGAAAACAACGCTTAAATTAATAAATACAGAACGAAGACAAGTTAACGGTGAAACATTTGAGGGAGGTGTTTTTACAAAATGTAGAACAAAAATGTTCTACAATGGAATGTTAAATGTATGAAGGCATTCTTCACAGTTTTTCACTAACTACAATAAATAATATTTTAAAGGAAATCTTGTGTGGCTCTAAAGAATGTCATTGAAAACCAAATGTTCTCAGACAGCTAGGTAGAAAATTTTCCTCATATATACCTGCATGATAATTGAATCAAGTAGTAGTTTTCGACAAGCCTAAAGTCAAAATATGAGACTCACGTGCTTTCTTGGTGAAGGTTTCAATCACATCACTTGGAGGTCCACACCCTGCACTATTGCAGGCCCCGACTTCCACAAAGTACTGGGTGTCAGGCAGAAGGTTCTCCAGCCTGGCTGAGTACTCTTGGCTGCTAACTTGAACTCTGTGTGCAGCTTCTTCTCTGTCATGGGCAGCCCAGTACCGAATCTAAAAAACATTTTTTTTTCATTTACATAGACACATATGAAACTATTATACAATGGAATTGGCTAGGTCAAATTCTCTTGGTAAAAGTGAGGTTAATATGTGGAATGAGAAAATTTCTGAACATTCAGGAGTAGGTGAATACCTCCCCTTTCATCCCAGTCAGGGTAGTTTTGAACCACGTTTATAAAGGTCTGAGAGATGGAGTACCAATTGCCCACAGCGGTTGGGTTGTCAACAAGTTAAAGCATCTTTGTGTCTGTGCTTCCCCCTTCCTGTTCACTCTGCCTTTTCCTCATATCTGCTCCCTAGGATCGTATTTTAACAACAACAACAACAATAAAGCACTACTTTCTCCCACACCTTTGTGTGAGGCTCTGCTTTGGGCAGCTACAGACTAAGACAAACGCCTTCTCCAAAAGAAGAAAATGAAGCACTTTCTAAATATCCATTCGTGCTCACCATGATAATTTAACTTTTGAAAACATTTGAGTAGACTATTCAGGGTTGTTAATCTTTTGTGATGATTATGGAATCAATCATCTGCATTAATCTCCAATTGAGCCGCTAAGAGTTTTTGCATTCATTATTCCTGATAGCCTATTTTACTTGTTTTCATGAAATTAATTAAGTGAATATTTTACCTGCTGGGTAAAGTCTTTTGTGGATTCCTGAGCAGGAGCCCAAAGTTCTAAAGTGCCTTTAATAAGAAGGACTTTCTGCATTCTTCTTGCTTACCTATACTATAGAAAAATGCACTGAGTATTAAGATTGGAAGTGGGGAGCTCTTTTCCTCAAACAAGAGGAAAAATCAGTGAAAAACATTCTACTGAGATACACTTCAAAACCACAAGGTTCAGACCCACTTGCCTGCAGTTCTCTTTTGACATGTCAGGAAATTAACCTGAGATGGGGTCAATCATGCAAGACTCAGGGCTTTCCAGGTTTATGTTTTATTTTATATATTTAATGTGCTGGGTTTTTTTTTTTCTGTGTATCTTTGTAACTTGGATCCATCATACATTTTCATGGGACGTGCAGTGGCTATTGGTTTTCATGATCATCTATCTTGTTAAACCATTGGCTTCTCCCATCATATTTCAAAATAGAAACAATAGCCACATTATAGTCAGTCAAGATTTCTTCCCATATATTTGCAGGCATATTTTCTTCCAGGAGAATAAATGGTATGGATTTTCTCTTCTAAGTTTTCATGCTTGTCTTTTTGATATTCAAGGTTGTGTGTGAAAAGTGTAAAAGGATTTTAAGAAAGAAGGAATGGAAAGAATAATTCTATGATTTAATTTCAGCAATTTTAACAACCCATTCTCTGAAGAGTCAAGATCTAGGTTAAAATCTGGTTATGACAATTATTATTGGGACAGACATTTCTAAGTTTCAAGTCCTTCATCATTAAAATGAGGATAATAGGCTGGGCGCAGTGGCTCACACCTGTAAGGAGGTTGAAGCGGGAGGATCGCTCAAGGTCAGGAGTTAGAAACCAGCCTGAGCAAGAGTGAGACCCCGTCTCTCTAAAAATAGAAAGAAATTAATTGGCCAACTAAAAATATATAGAAAAAATTAGCCAGGCATGGTAGAGCATGCTATAGTCCCAGCTACTCGGGAGGCTGAAGCAGGAGGATTGCTTGAGCCCAGGAGTTTGAGGTTGCTGTGAGCTAGGCTGACGCCATGGCATGCTAGCCTGGGCAACAGAGTGAGACTCTGTCTCAAAAAAAAAAAATGAGGATAATAATAATGTCCACATCCTAGGATTGTGTGGATTTAATACAAGGAGCTTAATTAAACGTTTATTATTGTAAGGTCTCAACAAATGTCATTCTTTTCATTATTAATATCATCATAATCATCTTCATCATTGCCATCATAATCATCACCTTCAAATGCCCAATGATGTAAACAGGGAAAAGCATTAAACACAGGTTCCTTAGTTTCTTCCACACAACAGCTCTGTGAGGCAGTGGTTATTCTCTCAGCTTGATAGGTGAAGAAACCAAGAAAGTTCAAATAAATTTTCCACAAAATTCCTAAGTGACAGAGTTGAAATATAAACTCATGTCTGCTCATCACTTTTACTTAATGTGGGTTTGCAAAAAGTGAGAAATCTGTGAAATCAACTCCTCCATGGCACACATTTTCCCCTTGAAATTATCATTCGAGAAAATCTTATTTGGTAAACATTACTTTTTACTAACTATCTGAGAATCCTTAATCAAGGTTTACTTCCCAAACAGGCTTGTATTTGGATTAATGTCTGAGTAATTGGTACCACTGTATTGGTTCCCACCTCATGTTTCCTTTGTGCTCTATTTGTTGAAAGTCATAAAATAGTCAATATAAAATTCTTGGCATAGGCAGACAATATATAATTCTCTAGCATGTCTTTAATAAAGTAAAATATGGCATATATTTAACACTTTAACTCAACGAAATAGGAATTATATATTAAATTATATGTAAATATATAACCCAATGAGATAAGTTATATATTAAATTATCTTTTTCAATTTTTTATTAGTTAGAAATACATAATATAATAAAAAATCCTATGGTCCAAAATTTGACTTTCCAAGCTCCAAAACATTGATGTTTTCTTTAAAAGACACCTTTGACTTATTTATTACAGGGGTTTGTAACACCCAGTGAGTTTCTCTCTCTTTCCCATTTCCTTTTCTACTAGTTATAAATGTAACTGTAGGCCTAGTAAGTTATGAATATTGAGTATTTCCAGTCTACCCTTTTCATTCCCAGTCCACTTTTAACTGCTCTGTAATAAATTCAACTGAATCATTGCAAAGATGATCTGAAGACTCTTTGCAATCCACTCGAATTATAACCTATGGTGCCAAAATAAAAGCTTCCTGTTAGTCTGGGTGTTTATGTTCAGAGGCTTGGTTGGGTTGCTTTTGTGGCTACATCTCAGAAACATGGCCTTGAGAAAGCCCAACTGTAACACTGTATTTCATCATACCTCCTTGTTCCTATCAGTACTCAATGAATATCTATTTAGTGCCTACCACATGCTCAAGCACTGCTCTCAGCTCTGAGAACAAAACAGACAAAATCCTGTCCTCATGGAACAAACAATCCATGGACAGATGGAGAAGGGAAGGTGCAAGAACTGAGAGGCCAAGCTGGCTGGGAAGGACAGTGCCAGAAGGGCACCCACTGTGCACTCATGGAAGAAAATAGAAGGGCACAAAGCCCTGAACTTTGAATCAGAAAATGTGAGTTTCAGACATGGCTCTACATGCTTTGTCAGTGACAACTGAGACAAATTGTCAAATCTCTTTGGTGTCCATTTGCTCATCTTAAAGGTCTTATAAGATGTTGATTCCTTTGAATTTTCACTCCTTGTGCTTAAAAATATGAGATGACTTCATATTTCCTATTATAATCCAGTCTAAGTAGTGTTAGCATTGTATTAAAGACCACAGCTATCTTTCTAGTTTCAGCCTTCCAGTTCTCACTCTCTTTGACTAAGACAAGTTCTCTCATTACCTGGCTAATTCTTACTGGCCCTTTAAGATTCAGTTCAAGGGATGTTTCCTTTGGGACATTTTGATTGTTGCCAATTTTCTGTCTTCATAGATAACATTTGGTGTATTCATTATTATTTCTTTTGGAGGGATTTTGAGAAATGGAACTACTGAGTCAAATAGGATGGCTATTTTAAGGATGCTGCTATAAATTACCAAAATGCTTTCCAAAAAACTTTAGATTGACCAGCTTTTTATGGAGATAATTTGTCTAAAGAGATCTTAGCTAACTTTATTACCATTGTTTTTATTTTGGCCAATTGTTTGCCACCCCATGAGTTTCTTTACATCTTTCCTAGATAAGGCAGTTAGGAACTTCTGTTTTACCCCTAATGATTAGCTTAAAAATGACCAAGATACTAAATGCAAACAATATAGTGTTAGTTGCCACATACATTAATGAGATACAAAACATTGAAAGATGTAATATATCTGAAAACATATGCTTATATATTTATGAATAAATGTATTTACTTTATAAAAATTGAACTCACCTGATAAGTTTCCACTATTTTTTCTAAAACATGTTTCCAATGAACAGATATCTCAGAAGATGATAAGACTTTTACACCAACTTCTGTTGGGGCTTCAATGGGGGCTGAAATTTGATGAGAACATTACATTTTTAGTAAGATGTTTACATAAAGAAATTTGAACAACACCATTTATTGTATGAATGAAGTAGAACTATATTTTAATAGTTCCACAATAGGTTAATGTTTCCAAAATAAAAGAAGTCTAATTATTTTATTACCTCTTTCTCAATTTTTACTAATGCTACTTTATTTCATGGTCATTAGTGATACATGTACACACACATATTCATAGACAAAAATGTTAATATAGATATACACACAAACACATCCACACACACTTTTGGAAAGCTTCATGGATTTCTATTATATTCATGAGAAAGAACCATACTAATTTATTTTTTACTCTTCCCAACTGACATTGCTTAAGAAATCCTGTTGTGAATTATAATTAATAATATTTGGCTTATCAACACTATATTATCAAAAATATGAAATTTGGTATTTATTATAGACAAATATCCATTACAATTAATTTTCTCTTATTTGCTATTCATATAAAATAACTATAAGAAGCAATAATATTAATAAAATTTCCCTCTTTTATGTTTAAGCTAAGATCTTTAAAAAAATTTTTTTTTCAGATCCTTTGAAATGAGTTGTGATATCCACTATTTCTTGGGCTTGGGAAAGCTTTTATATGTCTAATCTTCCAACTGGGCATCAAGTCAAATATGTATCAAAAAGGCCTCTGTCTAGGGAAAAAAACTAATTTATATCCGTTATGAAATTTACACAAAGAAACCAGGGAAGCCGTTAAGCAGGGGTGATCAATTTTTATTGTCTTTCATTAAAAAGTCATAATCCTATTTAATGTTAAAAAATGCTCTACATATGAATACTGTTTCCTTTCCAACTCAAGGCAAACATGTAGCACTATGATTGATTTCTTAGCAGTAGAGGAAAAGGTTAACACTTACACATGTTTCAGCATATGCACGTTTTATGAGACTTATGAAATACATAGGAAAGAAATATAATTAAATATAAATAGATGACAAGCTATTTGCCTGAAAAGTACTTTAGCATTAAATAAAGCAGTAAAAAATTGATATTGGGTGAGAAGATAACTTGTAAAATGCTTTTAACTTTCATTTTCTCTGTGAGATGGACTCATGTTCACATTATTAAAATTGAGTCAAGTTATACTTCTGCTGAATGAGCACACGCATATAGAATGTAAGATTTGTCATAGGACTTTTTTACTGTTTGATAAGAAACAAATTATTTCTATTTTTTTTTTTTTTTTTTTGAGACAGAGTCTCGCTTTCTTGCCTAGCTTAGGAGTGGAGTGCCGTGGCGTCAGCCTAGCTCACAGCAACCTCAAAATCCTGGGCTCAAGCAATCCACTGCCTCAGCCTCCCGAGTAGCTGGACTACAGGCATGCGCCACCATGCCCGGCTGATTTTTTTTATATTATATATATTAATTGGCCAATTAATTTCTTTCTATTTTTATGGTAGAGACGGGGTCTCGCTCAGGCTGGTTTTGAACTCCTGACCTTGAGCAATCCGCCCGCCTCGGCCTCCCAGAGTGCTGGGATTACAGCCGTGAGCCACCGCGCCCGGCCCTATTTCTATTTTTTATTCTTTCAATGTATTTGGTTGGGCTATCTTTTGAAAGAATATATATGTATGACTGCCTTTCATGTTTGTATTTTTTTTTTTTTTTAAATGGAGTCTCACTTTGTTGCCCAGGCTAGGGTGAGTGCCGTGGAGTCAGCCTAGCTTACAGCAACCTCAATCTCCTGGGGCTCAAGCAATCCTCTTGCCTCAGCCTCCCAAGTAGTTGGGACTACAGGCATACACCACTATGCTTAGCCTAATTTTTTCTATATATATTAGTTGTCCAATTAATTTCTTTCTATTTATAGTAGTGACAGGGTCTCGCTCTTGCTCAGGTTGGTTTTGAACTTCTGAGCTCGAACCATCTGCCCGCCTCGGCCTCTCAGAGAGCTAGGATTACAGGCGTGAGCCACCGTGCCCGGCCATTTTTTAAATACATTTAAATGTGTAAATTTAATGTGTAAATTTAAATGTGTATACAACATGATGTTATGAGATATTAATATATATATGTGGCAAAATGGCATGTATTGAAAGTAAAGATCATGGGATGATTTAAATATATATTACGTTTTTAACAAATAAGGAAAGCTAATAATTCTATGACTGAAGAGCATATGTGATAATTTCTGTTGAGTTCTAAGGTATGACCTAAATGTTTAATTTGGAATAAAAATAATGCAAACTGAGTAAACCAATAGACTGTTTTTCCTCAGTACCTCATATAGTTTTAGTTTTCAAACTCTTCCATTCGCGCTTCTAACACAAGTACAAAGAGAAACTTGGCTCAGGGTAAATGTTAGATCAGAAGGCAGTGAAATCTCTATTTGCTTTACTAGCCATTAATTATTTACATAGCACACATGAATAAAGAAACATAAGAAGAAGGACTTAAAAAAAAGGAATATAAATAAAAAACATATCAACTTAAACAGAAAACAATTTAAATATGTTTAACCTAAAACTGTATGTCATTTAGCATGAACATATAAAGTCCTCTATGAGCACACTCAATTCAGTTACAGTTTCTAAAAAAATAAAAAGAGCCAGTACCAGTTTTGGTTTTTTCCCTAACTGGCCTCTAGGACAATTTTTTCTCTTTTCAAGAAAAAAATTTCAACTGTCTTTCTGACTGCCTTTTTTCATATAATTATATCTAGATTCCCTTGAATAAAATTTAAGCACTCTATTGTAATAATAAAAATGTTATACAGAAGCAACAATTACACAAATTTTGGTTTAGAATTTTAAGCGGTTTTATAAATAATGTATATGCTATGGAATTTTTAAATCATAAAATTTATGAATACATAGACATTCCAATCAAGTATGGAGAATTTCTGACTATAAAGTTACAATCAAGAGCCCAGGAACAGGCATCTAAGCCGATTATTTTAGCGAAGATTTCCTAAACACCATGGACATTATCTAAAGGATTTTAGCAGCATTTTTGTCATTTAGGTGGAATGACTGACATTTTGATTGGATTCAAAATAATCCTCATTTGCTAAATGCATAGTACCATCTAAAAAAACATCTTTAAATCAGGACTGAAAGAAGGCAAACTACATGCCTACTAGAGAATTAAGTTTTTCCTCTCTTATCACGTTAGTGAGGTCTTTTTTTTTACCTACCGTCTTGTGCTGAATTAATGACTGCTATGAGGCTGTAAGGTCCATCTCCTTTGTTGTTGAAGGCCTTAACTTTTACTTGAAAAGCAGTGGAAGGGGTCATGGTTTCGTCTTTATGGACGTATCTGCCAGTGTCTGGATTAGTAACTGTAACTTTTTTCCATTCTTCTCCATCAAATGGCTTAAATGCCACTATATAACCAAAATTATTGCCATAGTGGTATTCTCTTGACAAAGGCTAAATGGAAATTAAATACAAAACAGGTTTTAGTGATACAGTTAAGGGGAGGGGGAGAAATCCTATGCAAATAATAATAGATACATATGCTCTTTGTAAAAACACACTTGGTTCATAAGTTAGAGCTTGTTGCAAATGCCAGAGCAAAAACATGCTCAAACATGCGATGACCATAGTTACCAAGTGGTAGCCTTGCTATTTTTTGAACATCCAGGGGACTCCCACTCTGGGCCTTTTTACTTTCAGTTCCTTCTGCCTAGGATGTTCTCCTAGATGTCATATGACACCCTCTCTCACTTTCTTGAGGGAAAAACCACCTGCTTGATGATGTTTTCTCTGGCCACAGAATCTGCCATTTCAAAATTCCTTCCCCAGTACTCTATATCCTGCCTTCCTGCTACATTTTTTCACTTTAACACTATCATGACCTCATACTGTATTTTACTTATTTGTTTACTTTATTGTCTCTCCCAAATATTGGAATATAAGTTTTATGAAGGCAGAGTTTTTGTCAGTTTTGTTTTCCCCCTTATCCCTAGCACCTAGAACAGGGCCTCAAGTCGTATGTATTTAATGGACGAGTAAATAAATTTCCATAGAATTGAAAGGCAATAGTAAGAGAGTTTTATGAGACTTTAGACCATTTGAATTGTAGTCAAAAAGAAACTGGTCACAGGTATAAAAGAGAAAGTGACATGGGGGAAGAGGCAACAATGCACTCCTTTGCAGGAGCTTGGCTTTGGGCCCCTGACTAACTCCAGTACTGAAGCAACGGCTTAGTTTTGCATCATTTTCTCAGGGTTTCTTATTACTACACATGTCAGTTGCCTAATAAAGAAGTCTCTGTCAGCCCTCACAATGCATTATTTATAAATACAGACCTAAAGCAAGTCCTAGCGAGTCATTTCATCTATTTAAGCCATTACGGTAAACGTGTGCAAATTGTATATTTACTTTTTTCTCTAGAAAATCAGAGTTAAGTTGTCTTGAGGCAAAAACTTTGAACTAAATATAATACCATTGCTTGGATATACTTAGGTCAAATAGGAAGATATAGAAATGTATAAAGGCCAAATGGTAGAAGCTGTGCTTGGTTGCATAGCATAGGTATGTGATTTTAGTATAATCTAACATTTCTATAGTAGTTTAAACATGTTTCTTATTGATAGCTCTCTACTCAGTTTTTGGAATTTAGAGTATAAGAGAATCAGCTACGGAAATTACGGAAAGAATGATTTTCATGCTCTCTTCCCAGAACTTGATTTTGAAATTTTGGAGGAAGATTTCTAATTTTAATTTTTTGATAAGGTCCATCTTATTCTGAAGCAGATACTCATAGAGTTTACAAAAATCAGGCCATATTTGAAAGAGTAAAATGTTCTAATTTTTATAATATTTGCATTTTTTGAATATTTCATTGACATTAAAACTTAGAAATAAATAATTTGAGATTCAAATTAGCAAAAAGCAATTTTTCTAAATCTTTTTGAAAAATGTGATTTGAATGTCAAATATAAAATATGACTACAAAGCAGACAGTAAAGTCAAGTGTTGCTAGATATTCAGTTATATTAATCACTTTGATCTATGCAAAAAATAAAACTTGCCATTTTTCTATAGTCCTTAAAATTCTCTGGAGTTTAAATTGTGCTCTTTGACTATCTGCAGTGATTAAACACTAAGAATATTTAATGAATAAATGAATCTGTGTGAAACATGTTACCTAAATAAATGCCAGATGTCTAATTCAGACAAGTTTGTCCTATCACAACCTTCCCCAGCCCTTCCCAATATCTCTCCTATTTCAAAACTCCAGGTAAGGCTGGGCATGGTGGCTCACGCCTGTAATCCTAGGACTCTGGGAGGCAGAGGCGGGCAGATTGCTCGAGGTCAGGAGTTTGAAACCAGCCTGAGCAAGAGCAAGACCCTGCCTCTACTATAAATAGAAAGAAATTAATTGGCCAACTAATATATATAGAAAAAATTAGCCGGGCATGGTGGCGCATGCCTGTAGTCCCAGCTACTCGGGAGGCTGAGGCAGAAGGATTGCTTGAGCCCAGGAGTTTGAGGTTGCTGTGAGCTGGGCTGACGCCACGGCACTCACTCTAGCCTGGGCAACAAAGTAAGACTCTGTCTCAAACAAAAACAAAAAAAGACAAAAAAAAAAAAACCCCAAAAGACTCCAGGTAAGATGCATTATTTTTCAGAGATCATAGTCTCTGATATGGAACTCCCCTTTGGGTCATGAAAATTTAATAAAATGCTTTGGATACCTCAGTAACAAGTCCCTTGGGTAACTTCTGCACTGACCTATCATGATATATTACACTAGTAATCAAAGTAAGGGTTGAGTGAGGAAGCAGCCTTCAATTTAAAAAATGAGTTTTGATACAATGTTTGTAAATTGAATCTTTGGAGTTTAGAGTGTTCAGAGAAAGTGTTATAAATTATAGTTGGGTTGCCAGAATGCAATGAGTTCAAAATATCTCTGGAATCAGATAGCTGAATGTTTTATTGGCTAACAGATCTCTTAGCATCCAGAATTCATTTTTGCATAGGAACTGCACACTAAGCTACAGTAAGCCAGATAAAATCTGACATGCATTTAAGCAAAAAATTAGTAATTTATTCTTGCTTGTGCCTTGGTCATTCTCTTTTATCTCTATTTATTTCAGGGAACAAAATGGGTTTGAGATAAGGGGTAGATAAAGCACCCTATAATACGTGCAACTTAATACTTACCGCCCATGTTATAGTCAGCTCTCTGTTGCTTCCACCTCCACCTCCTACATCCGAAGGAGCCACATTTGGTGCTGAGACAAACAAAAAATCAAATTTACAAAAACAACAACAAAAATAGAGTCTATATAATTTTTCCCTGCTGTTAGAGTTCTTATTTACTACAGAAACCATGAATTTGTTCTTTTATGAGAAAAAACATGCTGCACACATGATCCACTCAATTATAATAACAATGGTTCACAGTGGCTGTAATAACCTGTTTTATTGCCAAGATAAAAATTGATTTGGTGCCATAGGAAATGCGCCCATTTCCATTAGCAAGGGATAGAGAAGCAAATTTCTGCTCCCATCTTTTTCCCCCCATTCTGTGTCCTATCATTTAATATGACTTTGAAAGATTAGATAGAGTCTGTTGAGAAAATATTTTGCCACTCTTACTTTTGACATTAAAACTTAATAAACCCTATGAACTTCTAACAACTTACTGTTGTGTTTGGTTTATGCTTCATTCTACAAATAAATGTTAAGAAACCACACATTTGCATAGCATTGAATAATGTTTCCTTATGGATCTGGGAATACTAGCAATCTAACATTGTCTCCTGTGCTCTTCCTTCCCAAGCCTCAATCTCTTTTGGAACTTTGCCCCATCAGTTACTCCGAGTCTCCCTCTTTCTGTCCTCTTAACATCATCCTTCAGTCTCTGACTCTGCTGGAGAGACTTTATCTACTCTCTGCAGTCCCTCTGTTCTTAAAAACCTTCCTATTTTCCTCTTAAAAATCCCCAAGCTATCACACCCTTTCTTGTCGCTGGACAACATGGAAGAACTGACATATGACTATTTTTTTTTTTTTGTACTTCACTCCATAACCACTTTTTAACAACCCACAATCTATTTCCACTTCTTCATATTACTGAAATCACTCTTTCAAAAATCACAAAACTGCTTTTAACTGCCAAGTCCAATGGCCTCTCCAAGTTATTCACTCTCCTTGAAACTCCTTCAGGGTAGGCACAATATCTTATTGGATTTGTATACTTAGCACATGACTGGCCTTGTACAGATGAATAAAGCACTGTTTGTTCCCGTGCTCAAGGCTCTACCTAGCTACCCAGCTGCCCAGCCATGTGGATGAACACTGGCTTTCTAGAGGACATACACTTTTTCACACAAATACTGTGGCTCAATCTGAGATACCATTCCCAAATGTGTGATCTCCCAAAGAGATCAAATGCCAGGTCTTCCTTGAGACCCCAAATCCCTTCCTAATAGGGCATAACCACACCTTCCTTAGAGTGCTACATTTACTGAGTTGCAGATCTTAAACTCCTCCAAATGCTAGCCATGTACATTCTTTGGTGAAATATGGACATTAATTACACAGAAATAAACAAAACTCTATGCTTTTCCTTATATCTATAAAACTATATGATGATTTCCTTTTCCCATGAAGAAATTAATATGAAGTTTGAGAGATTTGATTTTACTATTTAACTGTCAGTATGTGAGTATTCGAAAATTAAACTGGGTGCACAAAGTTTAAAAATAAATTTTTTATAGGACTTTAGAGAGAATAATACTGACAGCTGGAATATTAAAACAAGTTATGGAAACTCTTTTAACCCTATAACTCATAGCCTGAAGTTTCAACTCTGCATGCTATAGAAAAACAAAAAGCATGTTTTCCGATTATCAAAGAATATATCAAATTTTGTGTGTTTAACTCTAAGTACAAGTATAGTAGTCACAGGCAAGTGATTTCAAAAATCACTTTAAAATAATTTATTATACTGCAATTTGTTGGCTATAATATTGCCTTCCTAGGACAAGTATTATTTGTCAAAGCATATCACTAAAATGCTTGTCATTATAATCAACCATTTTATTTAGAATAGAGCTAAAAATGGAGACTGTTTATATTAAATAGAATATTTTTTTTCCATTTTTATCATGTTTATTTTGGACACTTTTTAACACTTTGCAAGTAAGTAATTCAAGATTGATTTGTTCTTCAACGATCACCCGTGGAACTCACAATGCTGAAAACAAGACATAAAGAAGCACAGAATAAAGATAACAGCATCTATTAATAAAATGCTTTTATATCTTACTGAGATTAACTATTGACCTAATTTTTCCCATTTAACTTTGAATGTTCAGTTGTAGCCTTTGCAGACTGGGAAAAATATTTCACAGGTGGAACTGACACATAACCTATATATCTAACATGGATCTGAGAATAGGGCAGCCAGGTACTCTATTTGTATTTAGCCCTGTTGAAACAGGAGAACTTGGCCAAATAGTGATTTGATTTGTTTCAGGGAAGTAAATCATCCTAAGCACAAGGAAGCATATTTAACTTTAAGCTCTAGTGCATTTAACAGAGAACTAGACATTCTTTAAATAATAAATCACTTAGAGAATTTAAACTAATATTTAGGAAAAATATTGAATTATTAATCATGAATAGATAATATTTATAATTTTACTGTGAAAGGTTAAAATAGTAAGGTATTTTAACTTGTCCTTTTGCCTTCATTTCAGTGTAATAGTGATTTCCTTATGATGCTTATGAGAGTGCTTCTGTATTTCAGTCATACATCTAGAATAATTTTAAAAACAGAAAATCAAGCCAATGCCATGGTTATTCATTCCTATGAAAAGGAACTAATGCTGCCAATTTTCCTTTTAGATTTGAATGCTTAAGTAATTTGCATATAAGTACCTCTTTGGGCTGTGATGTTTATTTAACAATGTACAAATGGGCTTCTGACAAATTTTAAATTATGAAAATCATGGTGTGTAAGAAGATAGCCCCTTGATTCAAAATATTTGACTATTTTAGTTCTTGTTAATTATTGCTTTACCTTGTGTAGTCATTTTCATAGACAAAAAGTTAATCATGAATGTAGCTTTTCACTTTAATTTGCACCTAAATTTCACTGTGATTTAATGCAAATTTTTTAGTAAGAGATTCAATACAGTTATACAAGTAACGCTCTAGTCCAGAAAACCAAAGGGATTGAAGTTTAACACCTACTTTAATTTTACATCTACATCTACATAGTTAAGTATTTAAATATATAATTATGAAGAGCTGTTAATAATATCAACTGAACTATATGATGTTTGTATATTCAAATGACAATAGTTCTTTGTAACTCTTAAGAGTCCTGCTCTGATGGCAGAGAAGGTTGCTAACACTCCCGATGCAATGTTAAACCAATTCTTCCCAGTGTAGGTAAAAAAGACATAGGGTCTCAGAGAGTTGACAATAATATTAAGGTCTTATTGTCTTATCAGGCAGAAATTTTAGGTTTGCCTATTATCCTAGGCTTTGTTTTCAAACAAGAAATTTAAATAGGTGGAGCAGAGTTAAGTTTTTTAGTTGTCCCCATGGAATGATAATCTAAGAATAAGGCAGTTGACCCACATCTTAGGGATGTGGTGAGCATTGTGGAGGGGAAGGGCATACCTCTAACCCTTCTTAGGGAGAGGCAAATATAAAATTAACCAAAATGTCAAAAAAAAACAAAAAACCTTTATCGGGTATCGGGCAGGTGGGATGGGGAAAAGGCGATGGGTGTATACATACATAATGAGATGTGCACCATTTGGAGGATGGACACGCTTGAAGCTCTGACTTGGGGGGGAGGGGTGGCAAGGGCAATATGTGTAACCTTAACTATATCTGTACCCCCATATATGATGAAATAAAAAGAAAAAAAAAGAATAAGGCAGTTGAGGAAAATATTTGGATGGGTAGAAACGAATGGTATAAATTGAAATAACCATAATGCATAATAAAATTTTTATGAAGAATTCAAACATATTATGGATTATTTGTTTAAATTAAGTAAAATAATTGACATCTTCTAGTTTACTTTTTTCAGTATATAAAAAATGAAAATATCTAATGTATATGTCAACTTTGTTTTCAAGTAAAACAAAATATATTTGGTAATAGATTCTTCTAAATTACATTATGCAAATCTCACTGTTGCCTGGATTGCACCTTTTCTCCTTGTCATTCTCTATTAACTTTCAATTGCCAGAAAAATATCTTACCATCCTTGTCTCTCCCTTTTTCTTTTACAAATAACTGTGAGCACCAACTATGGACATTGTGTTGTGGTAAGCACTAAAAATAGCAATATGAGTAAACTCTGATTCCAGTCCTGGTAATGCTCCTTTTCTAGTGGGAAAAATTAAATATGTACAACTCATTTTAATTCAATGTGTTAAATATCCTTGGTTCAAAAAAGTTTGCTGAATGAATGAATGAATGGTCTCACCTTAACAATAGATGTATAATTTAGAAATTATTTTTACATACCTCACCTAATTGGATACTCAGATGAGTACTTTGAAGTAGGTAAATGGAGAAATAGCATTATCCCCACTTAATAAGAAAGGCAAATGAGTCCCAAAGAAGTTAATTAACTTGCCCAGCTTACCCTGCTCACATGTAGAGAAGGTGCCAACTTTAATTCAGGTCTGCTGATGGCTTAAATATCCATACTCTTTCCTTTTATAAAAAAAGATTTATCTATCTAATTAATAATAACAGCAACTAACTTTAACACAATGCCTTACCAGCTACAAAACATGTTCTTGGTAACATTCCTCTCCTTTATCAAACATATGTTAAAAAAAAAGAGAGAGAGAAATGACAGAACAGCTTCCTTAGACATGAAATTAAGGCTTATACATAATATGAAAGTCGTTGTTTCTAGTTTTGTTATTTTTCCTCTTTAGACTGGCTGGATCTGGCAAACAAACACCAAAGCTGTTAAAGCAAACCTGAATGCATCATTTTAGGATATCGACTCACCAACTGCACCTGCAGAGCTATTAGCTACGCGAGTATGTCTCACAATGGCACATTATTTCAAAGGATGCTTTTGTTATCTCTTTCTTACAGTCAAAATTAAATGGGTTAAAATGAATTACAAACATATCTTCTAATTCTTCATTTGGGAGCATCCATTTTATAATGCACTTGTCTGAATCCAAAGAATACACCCAACTGTGCACTGAGATCTTAACATTAAGTAATTGGATGGATAAGGGCATGTGTGGCACTGGATAATGTCATGTCTTTCAATCAGCATAATGAGGCACAGGACCAAGCTTTCCATCAAATGGGAACCAGCCTTTATCCCAAATAACAATGCTGGCATCTCACAGAGAGCTATTATAATGGTACGTGACAAGACAAACATCCCCCATTTAGAAATTATTTTTATTTTCCTGTACGGATAAAAAATGTACATTACCAATTTTATGCATATGCACTTTTTTATAAATAGGTGAAACATAAAATAATTATCAAAGAGAAATGCTGTTGAATTTTATTATATTAAGTGTATAAAATGATTAAGATAATTAAAATTTTATGAAATTTTTTGATCTTTCTTCTACTATGCTTATAATAATGGTAATATATTCTCAAACAAGTTGATCAGTTAAAAAGTAGACAGGAGACCATATTTTCCTACGGTATATTAAACTTTAAAAGGAACCCTAATAGCATAATAAATAAATTTTACTGAGCAAATATCATGCATCATAGTGCCAATTGCTTTCCTTATATGCTTGTAATCATAAAAATAATCCCTTAAAATAAATCATTCCCATTTAGAGATGAGAAAAGTGAGGCTCAGAGAGGTTAAGTAATAGGCCCCAAATCACAGAGCTTTTAAATGATAATACCAGTGTTGCACCAAAGAACCAGTAGTCTGGAACTGCGACCCTGCACACTGTCATTGGAAAGTGATCTAGGGAAGAAACCTTTAGAATTGGAAAGACCTGGATTTGAATCCTAGCTATGCTTCACATGAGTTGGGTGCCATTGTAACTTCCTCACCTGTTTCATAAAGATGCTGGGGATTAAGTGAAGCAATGCAAATGGGACTCAGCTAAACACTGCGTCTGACAACATACAGCCAGTGTGGAAACTATGGCAGCCGTAAAAGTGTACTAATAAAAGATCCTGAAATATTTTCTGATGATAGGTTAACAAATGTGTTAGAGGTTATAGGACTTATTTATTTATTTATTTTTTTACAATTGAAAGAAAGGGACCATCTCACCGGGTTGTATTTTACACAGTGAGTAGATGGTTATTAGTTCAAATGCGTGTTTGCTTGTTTTGGCTCTGATGGTCTTTAAAGGGGGTTATTTTTGTAAGTACACCAAACAGGGAATTAATTCCTTAACAAAATATGATCTGAGCAAACATAATGTAAGAGGGGATATGTAAACAAGGCAAAGCCAACAAAAAGTTGATTGAAAGTAACAACTTTGGCAAAATTTTAGATTTGATATCACTTTGAAACAATTGTTTTCCAGCATTTAAGGATATGAAGACATTGAGGTTGAAAATTCTTCAGAGTTACCTACGAACCACTGGTGGTGAGCATATCACTTCTAGAAATGAAATTAAATATAAATTATATTCATAAATTCAGATATGAAAGAGTTAGATTAAATCTCACAGAAACATTGAGGTTTTTTGTTTGTTCTCAACAACATATTTAATTTTATCACTTCTACTTTGAGATTAAAAAAATGTAAGGCAGATCTTATGGTAATTATGTCTAGGTAATAAGTCTAAGTATTGTAAAACAATCATTTTCTGAAATAAATAATAAAGATGTTGTTTGTAACAGAATTCAAAAGAAGAAGGAAGGAGGTCTACATCTGTTCCCAATGCCAAATAAAGCATCCTCCTCCCCTTGTACAATTTTTATTTCAAAAAATGGTGTGCCAGGCATGCCTCTAACCCTCGCTAGGGAGAGGCAAAGATATAAAATGTAACCAAAATGTTTGTACTCTCATAATTTCCTGAAATAAAAAAAAATCATGTGCAGATAAGAATTAGTTCATAGTGTATTAATCAAGAGATCGCACAAAATTAATCAAACTCAATGAGATTTTAAAAAGTCTACATTTGAGATAGGTGTGTGAAAATATTTTAAACGAAATAAGTTTGCTTAGATCAACTTAATCACTTGATATTTTTCTGCAATTTTATTCTGAAAATAAATGCTTGTTATATCAAATCAACTGTAGGATCTCTGAGTGTGAAATTATGTGGTTTAAACCACCAGTAGGATCATGCCCCAGTTTCATTTTATTTTTGTTTTTTAAGAAAGGGCAATTGTGTTCAGTCTATCATATAGAAGCCTCTGTTAGAAACACAGGCAGCTCTAGGGAATAATAATAAAAACCAAACACAAGGATCTTGGCTATATGGTATCTATATTCTATAAAGCTTCAACTTAGATTACCTACATATCTTAATGAGATTTCTGTGAACTAGAGAAAGGGAACACTTGTATTCATTTTGTAGGTGGATACAATAAACAAAAATGCAATATTTAGATCATATCTAGTTTCATAGTTTAGGATGAAATCCAGCTTCTATTAAGACTCTAATAAAGGTTCGTATAAATGGATGAATTTTTGGAGTCCTGCTTGAAAAGCTGCCTTTAAGACAGAAAGCTCAATGTCTAAGAAGAGGTGTCAGACAGATGTGGATATGAATTCTGAATCTTGCAACTTATTATATTAACTTAGGTAAACTATTTAGTGTCTCTGAATCTACTGCCCATTGATGAACATGTACATAATCTAACCTACATCAAAATATTATTAAGAGAATTAAGGGAAATGCATGTGAAAATGTTCAGCACAGACTAGGTATCTTAGTGCTTATTTTTGTCCTTTATTTCAGAATCATCATTATTATCTGATAAATTACATAAAATTACGTGAAACTTTAAGAGACAGTTTACTGATGGCAACATCTGTGAATCACTTGGCTTTAGAAAATAAAGACATTAGAACTAATAATTGTCTTTAGAAGTTTAGCCAAGGAACTGTGGTAGTCAGAGATGCAAAGAAGTGATATTAAGAGATCATATTTTAATAGAAGCCTGTCATCTGTTTAAAATCCTCTCCTCCCCATAAAACACTGACATTTATCAAGGCATAGTCAAAATAAATGAAATCAGAGACTCTACAAAACATTTCTCTTTTGATAGACAGGGACTAATAAAAGGAAGGCTACCATTAGAATCAGAACAACATTTTGCCTTAGTAAAGCAGGGGAAAAGAAAAAAAGAGAAGAGTATTTCTTGCACTAAAGACTATTGAAATGGAGTTGGTATTTAGCATGAAATACCCATCCACTTGGCCATTCAGTTATAAATGTCTTTGAGAGACATGCAAAATTATGAACCTCCTAAGTTACGGAACCTGTTTAATCAAGAATCTGTCTGGCTAAGATTCAGAATTTACATTAAAATATATTTTCTAGATACCAATTTCATTTACATGGTCTCTAATGGAATATGTATTCTAATGGAATACACAGTCTCTAATGGAATATTCCCTCTACATTAACTATGTAAAAATATTCTTAACCTTGATACTTCCTCTTCTGATTTTTGGCTGTTTTGACATAGAATACACACATGTAAAATATACATACACACTTTTTAGATGAATCATTTACCTCACAGCACTATTTCCAAATACATTCAACTGTATATTAAAATGGCACTGAATTTACAAATGTTTTAAAATTTAAAGATGTTTCTTCTACTTACCAGCACCATCTGTTCTAATTTTGTTAGATGGTATACTGGGCTCTCCTATACCTAAGGTATTGGTTGCTACCACACGAAATTCGTATTCCATCCATGGGATTAAATCCACTGCTCTTGCCGCCTCCATATTTCCTTCAATAATTGGGGGATCTAAATAAAATAAACATTAAATAGAGAATATCAGTGGAATAACATATCACTTTTCTAACTCCATTTTTATTTTACTATTTTGGAGAGAATGGCACCTACTAAACTGAGTTGAAATAAAAACAACAACTAGGAAAGATAAAATGTTAAGTTCAAGGAGATAACAGGAGAGGTCACTGATAAACAATTTAAATTAGAAAGTGATATGCATATGAACCTCCTGTTTAGTAAGTCTGAGGTTGGGAAACTGAAATTCTGCACTTCTACCAAGCTACCAGGTCATGCTTCTGCTGCTAGTCCATGGACTACACTTTGAGTAGCAAGAAGGTATATTCCAGAGGTAGACTCTAGAAAGATCTGTTGAAGCCAGGGTACAACTGGGACAGTAAAATTTATGGATTGCCACTAGTATAGTCTATAGGTAGCAAAGTATTTATTACTAGAGTAAAGAAGGATGATGTTTGTATCATTTTCTGGATGGTTTTATAGATTTATGCTCAAATTATTTGAACCAATGATAATATATGTTACAAAAATTCATTGTGATTTATTAAGTTTTCTTCAGAATTCATGCTACTAGATACTAATGGGAAATAATAAATTATTGGCAGGATGGATTCTGGCTTGTTTATTTAATTGAGATATGATAAAACATATAACCAAGGCAGGTCTGTACATTATTTTTAAGCTCTCTTCAAATATTTCCAAGTGGTTTTAGTAATTAACTTACCATACATGTGCAAATTATTGCCTATGCCTTTAGGCTTATTTATGACTCATTATCTTATTATATAGGGAACTTTTATTTGGCAGTGCACACCATGACTGTGTAATTTCTTAAGATGCTGTATTCATCACGATAATAAATGCTGAGCATCCCAGTGATCAGTTTCTACTTTTGGACAAATTCTTGTATGACTGAGACTGCTCCATGTCTCACCTCACCATGATTATAATTCTACTGGACATTATTTTGCCATCTATTATCTTTTTTGTTTTGGGTTTGTTCTACTGATTTGACATATATTTTTGACTTTCTGGTTAAAAGTTTGGCTTCACCTTCCTCTGTTTTGATTCTATCTCTGTATCCCCTATCTCTTCCTCTACTCCCTCACACCAAATCAAAATCTGTTTTAGTTCATATACATGAGGAGTTGTCCTTAGGTAGCTGAAAGAAGTTAAGTGAAACTTTGGTCTGTGAAGGGCTCTTCATCGAGCAAAGGGAAAACAGAGTATGTTGTTATGGCCTTGAGCAGAGTGGGCCCTCTTCCCCACTGAATATTTTTCAATTATTTTGCACCCCCTATAGAAAAGAGGCTGTATTGGGTTGAATGGTGTCCCCCCTAAAGTTAAGTCCATGTCCAAATCACCAGAATCTATAAATGTCACCTTATTCAGACAAAAAGGGTTGGCAGACCCTATTAAGTGTAAGGATGCAAATAAGTTAAGGATCTTGGGATAAGATCATTCTAGATTATCTGAGTGGGCTCTACATCCAATGACAAATGTACCTATAAGAGACACTGAGGAGAAACACACATAGAAGGGAAAAAGGCAATGAGACTATGGGGGCAGATATGGAAGTGATGCAGCTATGGCCAAGGAACATCTGGAGCCACCAGAAGCTGGAAGAGGCAAGAAATGGAGCCCTTGGAGAGGATGCAGCCCCTTCCACCACCTTATTTTGGTCTTCTGACCTGCAGAATTACTAGAGGGTAAATGTCTGTTGTTTTAAGCTACCAAGTTTATGTTATTTTGTTGTGGCTGCCCTAAGAAACTAATACAGAGGCTTAAAGGCAGAAGCATATGGAGCTATTTATGAGTTTGTGATTTTTTTAGTTTAGGGGGCTCAAGAAACAAAAGTGTGTAAGGAGGCTCAAGCAGGCAGTCTACCAGCTACATGGCTTCCTATGTTGCAAAACACTAGCACCATTTAAGGGCCTGAAAAATGGAAATGTTGGAGCATTCCCAAGGGCCCATCTTGGCAAGGATATGGTGTTCTCATGAAGGTTGAAGGAGCTCAGGGAATTTCACTGCAAAATATGACTCGTTGGAATAAAGAGTATTTTGAATTAAAGGCCCTTAGAGATCAAGAAACTTTGGAAGGGATTTTCCTTCTACCGTCATAAAAACCAGATGGACCCATTCATTAAAGAAACAATTGCTTTGCCTTCTCCTCTCTGTTATCTCAATATGTTGCAGGAAAGAAGAGCAAGAATGCAACCAGACTTGGCCCAACCCATTTTAAAGATAATACCTGTCTCTCAGGTTAATTTCCAAAAAGAATCATTTATTAGTCAATCTGTTTCTCGTATCCATATTTTCTTCCAAGTGTTAGTATCTATTTACCCTCCCTAGTAACCACTTATTGCCCCTAAACAGAATTGCCTATATTCCTCATCTCCCCATGCCCTCTAAAATGAGGATATATAACTTCTGGACCCCACTGAGATATTTTGTATTCACTCTGTGATTCTCCCCTTGTGTGCAGTAAATAAATGTGTAATCTCTTTCTCTCATTACTCTGCCTTGTTGTGAGTTGATCTTTTAGGGAACTTTCAGGGGGCAAAAGGGAAGTTTTCCTTTCTCCCTGAAAAGTTCAAGATTACCCTGGGGCTTTTTCAAGCAACTGGGTGGCCAACAGGTATGAGCAGGTATATACTGGGTCATGATAGGAAGAACCAGCTGGATGTGCAGTGGAGACCACAGCTGATAGACTGAGTTTGAGTGCATGTGAGAATCCAATAGGAAAATAGTCCACACAGATGGAAGGTCAGAGACATTTTCAAAGAGTAGAAGATTGTACTTGACCACAGGGAATATCTGGAGGGACGATGGGAGATAAGGCAGGAAAAGTCAATGGGAGTCATTTTGTGGTAGGATCTGGATTCCAGCTGAGGTGCCTAGCCTTTGATTTTAATGACTGCTATGAAGAATGGAAGAAGAAGCAAACAGTCTAGGAGGCACTACTGTGAAATGGTGGACCCCAGTGGAAAGCTCTTAGCCCAGAGATGCAAACCACTCTCTCAAAGGGGGAATGGGAAGTGGATGTCAAGAAGATGGACTTCTAGAATGGACCTTCTGAATGATTAAGGATGGAATTTGATATTTATAAATTAAAAATAATATTCCCATTGGGATTCCTAAGGGCTTGACAACTGTTCTTTTACTCAATTATAATCATTCTTGATGAGAATATAAATATCTAAAACAAACATATTTTGGTAGATAGCTGTAATATCAACCCAACAAAAGCATCTATGTAAGTAGCAGCAATAACTTAGCAAAAAATGACTAATATCTATTATTTCTAAAAAATGTACCGAGAATTAAAAGTGACTCTTCTGAGTTGCTATCAGTCCTCCAGATCTTGGTGGAACTTTTGACTCATGCCACATCACATGAACAGGATTTAAAAGCACACTTTCTCTGGTATTTTTCCCAGCTCTGATATTAAGCTAAAGAGCCCACATCATAATATCACTACAACTGGAATTAGCTATGTCCATGAAGGAAATTAGAAATATTTTACCCAAAATATCTTTCTTTAATATATTTTGAGATGGCTGAGTGAGTCTCACAGAGAGAAGCAACACTGCAAACCTGTCTTTTGTGGGGGAAATTTACATCTGCAGAGAATGTGCACTAATATGGCCAGGTCCATCCTTCCCTGATTGAGGAAAGAGTAACTGAGAGTCTGACACCTTTCAAGGTTCTGAAAAGAGAAGTTTAGCATCTATTCTCTGGAGGGCTGCTACCTTTAAGGTTTCATTTCCATAATCAAACCACTACTTTTGTTAGCTAGTCAAGCCTCTTACTTTGCCCCTCTCAAAAACCTCTTTTACTACTTCCTAACCTCATTCTTAAAAAACCTCTGTACCTCACTGAAGAGTTGAATCTTCATCCTGAGTGTTCCCACGTATATATCTTAAATAAACTTGTATCTTTCTCTTTCTGTTAATCAATCTGCCTCATGTCGGTGATTTTTCAGCCAACGTTTAGGGAGCCAGGGACCTTTGATCCCTATATCCACAGAAGACCCATTCAAAATGCTACTTCTGTCTCTCTCTGTTTGTTCCTGGCTATCATTTGTGGACATATACACATTTTTTTCTACATCTTATTCATGTTTTGAAACCTCTCAGGGCCTGGCATATCTACTATGATGTTTTGCAAATAGAAGTACTCAATAAATATTTGTAAATGTATACATATATATATATATATATAATACAATTAAAAATGTTTGTGTTTATTTAGAGCCATGTCTCAATGTAAGAAGCACAGCCTATGTGCAGCAATCATTTTAGTGTCTCCTTCATCCCTGAATCTAGCATGTTACTGATGAAAGAGAAGGAGGGCACTCCTTCACCTTGCCCTCACTACAAAATAGCCAATATTCTATGGCTCTTATGTCTATATTCAGCCCTTAGCTTATCCTGCCCTGTCTAAAGCAGAGAGCAAACTTTTCTCCATCCTCTTAAGGTCTCTTCCATTCTTTTCAACTCTGAGTTGATACTTTCTGATTTCTCTCTTCCATTGCTACCACATATGTTTGTTTTAACATGGTTTTACCTTTAATACATATTTTTATTTGTTTTATTCCTGAGCCCAAAATGCCTTCATTAACAAATAGACTTGTACAATCTTCTCCTAACCCTTCAGCCCTGATAGAAACTATTGGATTCTTTTTGTTCTTTTGTCCCCAGAACTACCCACATAAACAGTTTGGGCACAGATGCCTGCTCCCTGCAGAAGTGAGCTTTGCTTTGGAACCAAGTTCATGCCCAAAGCCAAATGGAGAATAGTCAGGAGCAGAGGGACATTATGTCCTCTCTCTTTAGCCAAGTTCCTTACAACCTGTTTGTTATTCCTGGGGTCAGAAAGAGAGGAAAGTACTTTGCATAACAGAGGCAAGTGCTGTTCTAGACCTGATTTTTAACCCTGTCAATTCTGAGTCAGGCCATTAAAAAAAAGTATTTTATATATATATATATATTATATATATATATATATATATTATATATAGTTTTTCCATTTTTTGTTGTTCAGAATATTATAGGGGTACAAACGTTTTGATAACATGAATTACTTTTGTACAGTCTGAGTCAAAATTATAAGTGTGTCCCTCACCCAGATAGTGTGCACCATACCTGTTAGTTGTGAATGTCTGTCTATGAATAATCTCAGCATTAAAAATCAGATCTTAACTGTATAATGCCTGTCAGAGATAGCTCTCTATAAAAAACTAAAATAGTGTGTACTAACAAGATAGGTATTTAAATATTGGTTTTGTTTTTGAGTGTAAATTTAAAGCAAAGGGATATAAAGCAGGAGGAGACCATATTCCTTACTTGAGTACTTAGGCCAAACACACTTTTGAGAATGTCTTAGTTAACAGCAAGTCATGAGCAGTTATCCACAGATCTATTTACAAATACCCTGAGGCCCTAAGGTTCAGAACAAAAAGTTTCTGGTTATTCTTTGAGAAAAAGAGAAGCAAGCCTCATGGGTGTCCTAAGGCCAATCATTCATAGTGTTTTAGTCGCCTGGAAATCCTAAAGTGATACCAAACTGACAAGTGGTCTGAGAAGCTACAGAAATAGCCAGAATGCCTTCACAACTAATAAGCTGACTGTGCCAAGAATACCTCCAGTCAGTATAATCCCCTCTATTCTAGACTTTTGGAAGTTGCCTTAGTGAATCCTGGTATATCATAAGGTCTAAATACAATCAGAACCTTTATTACCCTCCATTTCAATCTAAAACCCAAATATTGGAAACTACCAAGAGAGGATTACTCATCCAGAAGTTTTAAGTAAAACAGCAGATCTGTGTAGAATAGAAATAAGCATTTAGAGGCTTCTCACTGGCTCAAACACACTGACTTATGCTACAAGCCTTAGACCCAACCATAGATCACCTGGCAGAACTCGGGAAGGAGCCATCGGTGTGGAAACATTCCTGCAGCACAAGAAAAGCAAACTGTGCTCTGGCATGCCAGAAGATGTGATTCATTCATCCCTTTCTAAGGGAAATATGAATGTAGCCTCATACAAATCCAGAAATTCATATTTAAAATGAGAACTACAAAAGTGAAGCCACAAAAAGGCAAAAATAATAATAATATTCTATAATAAACCTAGGGGGTTTCCATTTTTTTAAATCTAAAACTTTAGCAAAGATGTGAAAACATGATACTAAATACTAGGTCAAAATATGGCAGAACAGACACTCATATACTAGTGGTAGGAATAAAAACCAGTTCAACCTTCCTGCAGAGCAAGTGTAGAGTATAGCTCATGGGATTAAGCTATTTACACTCAATAGTTTGATTTACATATGTTTATTTTATGATTTGTCCTGTAAAAGCTGGGATTTAGTCGAAAGGCTGCAATCCAGGATCCAGAAGTCCACACGTGGTCCCAAGGCAGCAGGTTCCCCACCCCTGTGCTGCAGCAATATGTGTGTGTGTGTGTGTGTGTAGAAACACACACATGTATGGTAAATATCATTAAAGGAATTAAAATGTTATACTAAAATGCTCATTTAATCCAAAAGAAAGTAGGAAAGAAGAAATAAAGAAACTCAAAGTGAAACATTTACAAAGAAAAATTACAATGGCAGCTATAAATCCAACTATATCAATAATTAACTGTTAATGGGTTAAAGAATTCGATCAAAGAGCAAAGACTATCAGATTGGATATATACTGTCAATGAAAAAAACGTACTTTAGATTTGAAGATACAAATAGGTTCAAAGTAAGAATTGGAAAAGATAGATCATGTAAACAAGAACCAGGAACCATAAGAAAGCAGGAGTGGCTGGACTAATATCAGAAGTACCTATTTAAAATACAACTCCCACCTTCCAATTCCTCTTTTCTGTTGTTTCTCTTTGGTATGCATCACCACATGACTTACTACATGTTTTAATTGTTTATTGGCAACTCTCCAACTAGAATGTAAGCTCTTTGAAGGCAGGGGTTTTTCTTTGTTTTTTGTGTGTTTTAGTCCTCTAATTTTTCACTGCAGCTCAGCTGTATATCCAGCATCTACAATAGGTTCTAGTGTACAGTGGAAGCTCAATATTTATTATATTTAATAAATAAGCACTATGGGCCCTTATGTAGGTGTTAAAGATAGAGAAGTACACAGTTCCTTCATGGAATTTACTTTCCAATAGAATTTTTTTTTTAATGAGAAGCATATTTTAATTGAGCTACATAGTAAGCATATCTAAGTAATGAATAAAAATGACTACAGTTAGTATATTTTTTTCAAAGCCAAACAAAATTTTAACCATTTGTTTATTTCAGTGTTGCTAGACGTCTAATATTATCTATAGTTTAATCATCATTAGTTTTCATTTTCTTCAGAAAAGCAGAAATTGCTCATGTTTCAGGTTTATCAAATATCTAAAAGGTTTTTAAAATTATGTTTCAGATGGTCTAATTTTGCTAAGAACATTTTTAGATAATTCTTAAAACTATAAACATAATGTAATAGAAATGTTTCACTTGTTTCTAATACATTGGAACTTTGTACTCTTATGTGGAGAATCTCTTGATACTACAATATATCCTAAATGCTTGCAATAGTCTTCAAGTTTCTGTTTGCTTCATTTTCCTTGAAGGAAAGAAATACTCAAAAGAACTAAATCTAAATTAAAGCATCTTACTGAGAGAAACAAATAAATTCGATTATGTTACAATAAAGCTAAAATGAGAGCAGGTTTGAGACACAGGAGTAATTATTTTTTTAGTTTTTACAAGGGAGAAACATTTTATACACCACTTGTGTCTTTCTCCCCCTTTAGTGACAACTGAACAGATGTTTCTATGCCTTTTCTCTACACATCTTAAAGAAATTTTGGCAACCAAAAGTTTATTTAAAAATATTGTTAAAATTGACAAACATAAACAGGTTATTTTATCAATAGGATCTACAATATTCTTTGATGTTACAGGGTAAAATACACAAATATGTGATATTATGGGCTAGTCTTGAGAAATGGCAAGTTACAGTTATAGAAAAAGGGAAGTACCCACTTAACATTTAACTCTTTTTTCCAGATCAACTTTTAGAAAATACTAATATAAGAAAAGAAAAGGTTTGAAAGATACAAAACTACTTTAAAAATCTGTTTTGAGGAGATTCAAACCAAGTGAAATCATTCTCATAAAGTAAAGGGTTATGACAGTATGATTTGGATGCTTAATTTCATATTTATGATCATTGTAGCTTTATAAAAATGCAGAACTATAGTACCTATATAATTGTATAAAAGCAGTGATAAATAATTTGTTATAAGTGCCATTTGCCCCCTCCAAAAAAGACTTCCCAATGAATTTTTGCCAGTAAATCTTATAGTTATATGCTGCTCAAATAAGAAACCCAGGAGGTCTCTGCTTTCCATAATAGGTTGATTTAGACATGATGCTGCTTCCCCTATAGCTTTAAAATGTTTAAATGTTTAAGTTCCATGTAGTTTTCTTCACAACCAAAGGACTAGGATACCAAAAGAAAACTGTTTTAAGAAAGAAAACATTTTAAGAAAGAAAACATTTAGATAAGGAAATTCTAAAAACTTCCAGATTTTTGCTTTTGATAAAATAGATTCATTTTGAAAACATGTAGCGACACAGAAGACAAATAAAACTCACCTGTCTTTGCATCTTTCCAGTCATCTGAAAGAATAGTCTTGGTCTGGATAGTGTATTTGGAGATAGGACTATGATTGTCTGAGCCACGGCTCCAAGTAAGTCCCACAGAAGTGGCTCTGATGTCTTCTATTCTCAGACCACCTGGAGGGCCTGGAGGACCTGGAATGAAAATTTGGGTAATGAATCAATGAATCCCAGCTAGTGAATCCCACACATATTAGAATATAAAAATGTCCTCCTTGCAATTCATCTAAAGGACATTTGTACAATATAAACAGTGTTGTCACATTTCTTTTAAATACAGACTATAAAAGTGATAATAGTATCATTTGTGGTTTTCACTGAATGCTTTCATTTGCCTCTTTTTAAAGAAGGAGATAAATGCTGTCATTTAAGAATGACATATTATTCAGGATATACATGATAATATTTGACTCATAATATGCAACTGGCATCAATGGGACATAATATAGATTGTAGCCTAGTGAGATTTAATGAATGCTTGCTGAATGCACAAATCAGAGACAGTAGCACAATTCAGTTTAGATGTGAGAATAGTTGGTCAAATGTTTCATTCTGTCTCCTCCAAATCTAGCAAATGCTTTCTTATCATTCCAAATGTTATAGATATCTTATTTTACTTGAAGAGGAAATTTCTGGGAATCACTTTATGTATCATTTTGGATAACACATTTCATGTGAGTTTTAGTAATAAGTAATATTTAAAAGATGTTTCTACTTATATAAAAAATTTAGAAAACAATTTTCAATTCATAGATATGCCAGGCATGCTCTCAGAACATCAGATTACATATTGAAGAGTCTTAGGATAGAAAAATTGTTCTTGCAGAGCATAAAACAATATTAAAATAGGTTTTTATAGATGATTCAGGTAAGTGAGACACAACTCTTGGGCTTTGAAGAGCTGTTTGTCTTAAAAAGGGTGAAATGGACCAGCAAACAAATAATTATAATAGAAAGTAGTAAATGCCACGACAATGGTTTACAATATATTTATACTTTGCATCACAATTTCTTGTTTTTAAAAATAAAACAGGTTCTTTAAGTGGTGAAGTGGCATCCCTTGCTTACAAAGCTAAAGAAGCCTCTCAGTTAATAGGCAGCTCTTAGTACAGACATTTCAGAAAATTCCATCACTTGTTTTCTTTGCACCAGAAAGGAGTCTATCCCCAGCAGAATTAGGCATACGTGAATATGACAATGAATCAACAATCTGATTAAATAATGTCATGTTACCATAATAAATATAATACTAAAGATGACATTTATTTTTATACTTTAGCTGAAAATAAATACCTTCATATTTATATATCAGTTGAGTTGCTTAGCCTAGGTGGCTTTTTTCTCCACATAGGCTTTGGTCTATGCAGAGGTATGGATAACACCCCAAACCTTCACCAATTTCCTTATAGTTGGTCCCAAGGAGGAAAAAGTGTGTGTAGATCAACAAAAACATATCACCACTAATACTAAAGTAACACAAGACACACCCTATTCATGATAGTAAATTTTATTATTTGGAAATATATCATATATAAATATAATAAAAACAAACCTTTATAAATTAATACTCTACAACAGTATATTTATACTTCTTAATGTTAAATAATTAAAATAGACACATAACATAGAACACATTTGATATTCAGAGAGAACATACTGCATTTTTTATGTGCAAAAAACACATTGAAATATAGTACACATTCTTGATCAGAACCAAGTTCATTATTTTACATAAAGCATCATCCTAAGTCAATTACTGAGTAGAATATTTTGGAGTATTACAATTAAAAATTAGAGATGGAAAATAAAAGAATTTTTCAGAGGAAGAGAAAGTCTTATACATGCATTCACATGTTTTCTGAGAATAAAGGTATGGTATTCAGAAAATGTTAAAGGAAATTTAAGACAAAATTGTTACAAATTATACGTTGATCTTTAACCACTAAGGTGTAAATCATTTCTCTGCTGTTATTCTAGGAAATTCTTGAAGTGTCAAATAAATAATATTTCACAAAATTCAGATAAAAGCTGCATAGCATTAGTGTATTTGTTAGGACACTACACACCTAGTAATTTTATTCAGCTATCCATTCATTGAAAAGTAATATTGTTGAGCAAAACATTGCATTTGTCCATTGTTTTCTCTGATATATATCTGGCTGATAGTGGGTTCTCAACAAATATTTGGTGAATACATAAATGAATTTATCACAATTGATCTTCATATAGTTCTATAAACATAATGGTCATCCATAATACAGTCTCCATTCTTCCACTTGCCTTGAAATACTATATCATCATAAAGAGGTGGAATTCAGAGGACAAATGAAAAGGGAGAGATTGGCATTGTCACAAAACTCTGGTATGGGAGTATTACTTGGCAATGATTTAACTAATATGAAGTATATTTTTCATCTAGTAACTGCCTAAAAAAATCCCCCAGAAAATACCTGAGAAAAATCATACTACTAAAATGTTAATTATATTAAAATGCAAGTATTTTGGAGTGAAAATAGGGTTGTCTTTAAATTCTGTGCCCTGATTTATCTTGGGCAAGTTTCTTAAATCTACTAAGCTCTTTTCTCATCTGCAAAACAGGAGTAATAAAAATCCACCAAAAAAGATTGTTAGGATTGAAATGACAACTTTAAAGAATTTAGTGGTGAGCCTGGTCCATAGAGAGTACTCAGTAAACTTTAGCTATTAACAATATTATTATTCCCATAAAAATTTTCTGGGCATCTTAGCCACCTGGCAGCAGTTATTATTAGTACTTGTTAATCATTATCAGGGTTCTGTTTACAAGATTATTCATTTATCACTTGTTACTTAAAAGAAAGTAGAGAGCAAAGAAAGTAGAAAGCAAAGATTTTTTTCCAGTAAATTTGATAAAGGTGAAGAAAAGCTGAGCATGTGAAGATACTAAGGACTCAGAATGTGGCAAAAAAAAAAAAATAGAGAGAGAGATAAACATGGATGGTCTGGGTCCAACCCAGGGCCAGCCCTGCAGTATCTCCCAGAAGGAAGGTTTTTAAGCAATGTAGGCTGATGTTACTTGTTCAGATTTTTGTTTAGAATGGAGAGTAAAGTGTTGTGGTGAAAAATAAAATAACAAAGCTACTTGTTACTCAGCACAAAACCAGGCATGTAGGAACTAACTCTGACTCTTTTGTCAACTAAAAAAAAAAAAAAAAAGCAATACATAGTTCTGACCCTAGGAGTTCCTTTTTTAAAAGCTCCCATCACTGTATACTCTCAATAAATCCTTAAGAAGGGGAGCCAGAGAAAATATAAGCAAATAGATTGTGCCATGTAGCTTATTTCATTACTACTTTACTAATATTTCTCTCCAATTTCTTATGTTGTCCTTGGTCTGATAGCTAAAGATTTCTAAGAACATTGTATTTCCCAAAGTCAAATTCTCTTGAAAGAGATGTTGGTAATTATTTTATCAACTTTTTAAATAACTTTTTAAAATAATTACTTTTATTGTAATTATTAAAGATCTGAGGTGAGGGGGAAAAGAAACTGGAATGTATCTCTGACTAAACCCTGGGAAAGTCTTTTTGTCCATTCTTCTCACCACCATTAAAACTTAGGGAGTTGGAAAGAGAAGAAAATGAGGAGGAAAAGAAAAAGAGATATGATGGAGGGAATACAAATTATGTAAAGTATACCTTTTGTTTTATGCTCTTATGAATACAGTTTTATCTTCACCCTTCTCTTGTCACCACCTCCTCTCACCCCATGCTCCAGAATTTCCAAAATGTATTTTATTAAACTCATACATCACATCCCTGCTACAGCGCTGCTATTTTTGTTTCCTGATTCTTCCAAATGCTGACAGGATGTCATCAAGAGTGGACACTCCTACTTGTGTTAGGTCTATCCAGCTGACTGAATTCCTCTTTTATACAATTAGCAGTACAAACATCAATATTGATTCTTTCTTTCTTTCTTTCTTTTGTTTTTAGAGACAGAGTCTCGCTCTGTTGCCCAGGCTAGACTGCAGTGGCAGGATCATAGCTCACTGTAGCCTCAAACTCTTGGGCTTAAGCGATATTCCCACCTCAGCCTTCACACAGCACCACCACACCTGGCTTCAATGTTGATTTTTTGCATCATATTTTCCTATTCGAAATCATAGTGTTCAATTGCTACCTTTCCTTGGGCTACTTTTCAGTATTTCTTAAAGTGGAAGCTGCACCTGTGGACTGTTCTGCCTTTTCTATTTGCATTCCTCTCTCTGTTGCTATTCTTGTTTTTTGCCTATATATTCTCTCTTTCACTTTAAATATCCCTTTTAAAGATTGCTGATTGAGACTGCTCCATAGTATCTAATCTATGGGAGATAAATAATGGTCACTTGTTAGTGTTATGTTTCTATTTGTGGACTCTTCAAAGTTAGCTAAAAGAACTATGGAGGCTTGTTTTTGTCACTTTTGTGACCTGGCAAAGGAGTGTGGAAATGGCCTGAATGATCTCCTATCATTCAGAGTTCAATGCAGAATGTCCTTACTACATCCCTATTCTCTTCCTCTAAACTTCTCTATAGTCTCAATATTTTTACTATTAATTTCATAGATGATTGGCAAATAATGGAAAATTGCAATATTTAAGGTAGATCACATACATTTTAGAGCTCATTTAAGCCAACATCTGTATTTATATCTGTTTACAAAAGGATGCTAAAGTCTAAAAGGGTTATTGTAAGAATTGAAGAGCTGGCCAGTAGCAGAATACAAGAACCAGGACAAGAGACAGGGTTTTCTGACGTGACATGTTCAAAATGAGAAAATACCCATCTTCAAATTCAGATTATGCAGCTCAAATGTGCCTGCCTGCAAAAGATCTCCAAAGAACTACCTGGATGTCAACAAGTTTACCCTATTGTCTTCTTGGGTTTGTCTATATTATTTAAACAAGTTATGGCACTATGGACATTTTGACAATATTGATTTTTTCAATCCATGAGCACAGGATGTTTTTCCATTTGTTTGTATCCTCTACAATTTCTTTCATCAGTGTTTTACAGTTCTCCTCATAGAGATCTTTCACTTTCTTGGTTAAGTATAGTCCTGGATATTTTAGTTTCTTTGCAGCTATTATAAATGGCATTGAGTTATTGATTTGACTTTCAGCTTGACTGTTGTTAGTGTATAGAAATGCTACTGATTTGTGTGCATTAATTTTTTAACCTGAGACTTTACTGAATTTATCAATTCTAGGCATCTTTTGGAGGAGTGTTTAGGATTTTCTAGATATAAGATCATATCATTGGCAAACAGGAATAGTTTGCTCTCCTCTTTTCCAATTTGGATACCCTTTATTCATTGCTGTTGCCTGATTGCTCTGGCAACTGGCTAGGGCTTCCAGTACTATGTTGAATACGAGTGGTAACAGTGAGCATCCTTATCTTGTTCCAGTTCTTAGGACAAATCCTTTCAACTTTTCCCCATTCAGTATGATGTTGGCTGTATGTTTGTCATGAATATCCATATTGCCAAAAGTGATTTACAGATTCAATGCAATTCCCATCAAAATGTCAACATAATTTTTCACAGAACTAGAAAAAACAACCCTAAATTTCATATAGAGTCAAAAAAGAGCCTGAATAGCCAAAGCAATCCCAAGCAAAAAGAACAAATCTGGAGGTATCATATTACTGAACTTCAAATTATACTACAGGTCTATAGTAAACAAAACAGCATGATACTGGTATAAAGGTAGACACATAGATCAATTGAACAACATAGAGAAACCAGAAATAAAACCACATAGCTACAACCAATTTTCAACAAAGCAGACAAAAACATACACTGGGGAAAGGATGCTGTATTCAATAAATGGTAATAGGAAAATTGGAGAGTTACATGCAGAAGAATGAAACTCTCTCTTACCATATACAAAAATGAACTCAATACAGATTAAATACTTAAATATAAGACCTGAAACCATAAAAATTCTAGAAGATAATGTAGGAAAAACTCTTCTGGACATTGGTCTAGGCAAAGAATTTATGACTAAGACTCAAAAGCAAATATAGCAAGAACAAAAATAAATAAATGAGACTAATTAAACTAAAAAAATTCTGTAGAAAAAAGGAAATAATCAACAAGGTAATTAGACAGCCTACAGAATGGGAGAAAAATATTCACAAACTATACATCTGATAAATGACTAATATTTAGAAGCTACAAAGAATTCAAACAAATAAGCAAGAAAAAAACAGACAATCCCATCAAAAAGTAGGCAAAAGACATGAACAGATTTTTTTTTCAAAAGAAGATACTCAAATGGCCAAGAAACATAAAAAATGTTCAACATCACTACTTATCAGGGAAATGCAAATTAAAACCACTAGGAGATACCACCTTACCCTTGTCAGAGTGGCCGTTATAAATAAGTCAAAAAACAACAGATGTTGGCACAGATGTGGTGAAAAGAGCATGCTTATACACTGTTGGTGGGAATGTAAATTAGTATAACTTCTATGGAAAATAGGATGGAGATTCCTTAAAGA